CCTTCACCATCAGAACCTGTTGATGAAAGTTTAATTGAAGCAATTGAATATATTAGAAAATTAATAAAAAACATTCGCGATTTGGAAGGTGCCTCACAAAAAAAAAAGAAAAAGGGTAGTAAGGCAGATAATTTTGATCCCAATAAACCTAAATCTCTTAAATTGTTTGTTGCAACAAAATTTCCAGAGTGGCAAGATTTTGGTGGTTGAAGCTATAAAATAAAATTATGATGAGGTTTGTGTCTAAAAAAAATAATAATAATAATATCCCAAAAGATTAACAGTAATATTATCAATTTATTTATTATATAAAAATTAGGAATCCAATTCATTTGATGGTGGTAAAATTCGAGCAAATTTAGGAGAGAAGGGGAATTCTAAAAAACAAAAAAACATGCCATTTGTACAAGATTTTAAAAAGAGAGTTGAAAAAATTGGCAAAGAAGCATTTAATAGGATTTATTAACGTAGTTTAGGATATATTCAATCAGAAATTGTGAATGTTTCAGAAGAAAAAAGATTAACAGAGTTTGCAGTACCTGGAGAGCCAGGAATTTTCTTTAAGAATATATAAAAAAAATATTAAATGCTATTTATTCGTTTATTTTTTAAAACTTACAAAAGTAATAAATTATTTTTGTTGTTGGTTTTGTAAAATATACTATACGTAATAATTAAATTGCATTAATATAACTTTTATAGATTATATAATTACAAATGAACTTTTAATATCATCATGTATTATCATACTACTTACCAAGCTAGTTGCAAATACAATATCACGTTTTATCAAACCTCGAGCTTTATCCATTTTAGTACATAATTCTATATTTCCCATTAACTGTGCAGCACTTTTTATTTCACTACAGGTTTCATCTAACCTCGTAATGCATCGAACAATTGAACCCTCCATCACATCTGTCAATTCCATTATATCTTTAAATGGCTTTTTTAAAAAAATTTTAAATAAACATCAAGTTCTGAAAATACTTTACTCCGCAATAACAAAATTTAAAAAGTTTACCATTCCTCTTGCCCATTCATATACTACTTGAACTAATCCAAACTTAATTGTTTCAACATAATCACCTGGAATATAAACACCTTTTTCTCTTTGAACCTCTCCAACATACTTCGCAACTTTTTTTATTTCTGCAACACCCTTTTTTCATAAATAAGATAAATTAACCAGATATTATATTTTTGATCATATATATATACACTACAAAAATATTGAATGAACATTACTTTTTCTAAGTTTGGAGTTAAAGTCGGTTCACTAGCATTTTTTTCTTGAAATACCAAACATGATAATAATGCAACAATTTCAGCTGGGTCATATTCAGATTCTTTCAAAACATTTCCAAAAATCAATTCAGTGACTAACAATTCATCAGCAGTATTAATCTATAATAAAAGAATAAATGGCGTAAATATTATTACCTTATGTAAAACCATTGTCCGCTTTTTTAACAATCTGTAATTATATAATAATCAAGTAAATAGCAAAAAGCGAACAATTGTTTCGAGTAGTGTAATAAATTTTTTTGAATAATAATAATATTATTATTTTATGATCCACATCAAGAATATATATACACACCTTACAAGCAACTTGACCTCTCAATTGAACCACTGAAGTTTTTTCATCAATATACTTTAAATATTTAAGAACCTCTATTCTTTGTTCATACTCTGGCATTAATTCCAAATTTTTACCAGTTATTGTATGAAGCAATTCATTGAGGTTTTTTTCTAATGACATTGTTTCGTGTATAAGTCCATACTACATATATGCATATAAAAAATAAGTTTTAAGTTTTCATATAGATAAATTCTATTTAAACCAAATCTAATTAAATATTAGCAGCCAAAAATATATATTCACATGTTCATTTAATTCCGGGCATTTTATACATTGAAATGAATATATTTTACTCATGAGCCGAGCTTTCTCTTTTAAGTTCAATTGAAATTCCAACGTCCTGATTTTTGACCAATCATTATCCACTATTTCGGCTTATATCATCAAAATTAATTTTTGATTAGTTGGTTGACACTTTTTCGTTGATAATGTAAATATATATAAAATATTACTTTTTTTCATATCTAACGCGTGACGAAGTAATTGTTGAGCTAATTTAGTCACATCAGTTAGGTCGTCGAACTGTTTTTTTTTTTGAGATAGATTAAAAATAATTATTATTCGATATAATAATATAATAATAATATATAAGGAATTAGGTTATTTACTTTAATTGTGAATTTTGTGACAGTTATAATATTGGTAATTGAAATGAATTGACGAGCATATGTATAAGAACTCTGATCAGGAATTGTTATATTGGTTATAGGAATTATTGTTGATTTTTTTGAATTAATAGTATCTAATATAAAAAATTAATTTTATTTATTTTAATAAATCGTCATCACAAATTTATCACAAAAATGGGATAATAAGAAATCCACAGCATACCTTTACTGGATTTATCCAAAAGCATTAAAACTTCAAAGGAAGGGTTTAATATAACAGCTAATACATTTCCATAAGCCTACACAATAAAAATGGATTATAATTACATAAATACATAGCATTAACTATTTTAATAATAAAAAGTACAACATAGCAAAACAAACATACACTATTATTAACAACAATGATTCTCCCTTGACTTAATACTTTTGTATCTGCCAGTTTTGTAATGATTTTCCGATTCAAATCAAGAATATTGGCTGAAATATTATAAAATTCTCTTATATCATGATTGCATATTGTACATTCGAGTATTTTTGTGGCCTTGAGAATCTTTTCTCTCTATATTAATAAAGTTTTTTTAAATTAATTGCTTAATACTTTTTCTTTTTTTTAAACCCCCCATTTTTTTTATTACTTCTGCAAATTCTCGCTCTTTATCTGGTAATGTTTTTTGACTCGTATTTTCCGAAAAACTACGTTTAATCATATCTTCAACTTCAAATGATTCAACTCTTAATAAATTGAGAATCATGTTGTATGTAAGACGAAATTGGGATTTTAATTTAGTTGGTGTTCCTAAAATCATTGCATTAAGTTGAGATTCCTAAAAATTTATTATCATGTATAAAATCCAAAATACATTAAATAAATAAAATTAAGACAAACTAATAGATAATTATTTCTAATGACTTACACTAGGAAATTCATTTCCTGACGGTACTATAATCACAGTACCTGTTTTGTCGAATGAACGACGGCCAGCACGGCCAGACATTTGAATATATTCACCTGAATAAATTTTTTTAAAATAAATTTATTGATAAGATATTTATTATTATTAGTGAATTGTGAAGAAGAAGGTTATATTTTTTTACCAGGAATTAATTGTCTAAATTCTTTTCCATCATGTTTTCTTATTCCAGAGAATACAACGGTCTTTGTTGGCATGTTTACACCCTTTTTAAAATATATATAAAAACAAAATTAAAATATGTGCATGCAATTTAATGTTAATATTAAATATATCTTTTTTAGTTGTACCCACCATAGCAAAAGTTTCTGTCGCAAATAAAACTTTGACATGTCCTCTTGAAAATAAAAGTTCTACCATCTAAAAAAAAGGAAAAAAATAATACACAGATTTGAAACTCTAGATTACTGTATTTAATTTAATTTTATTTTGTACCTCTTTGATAACTGGCAATAAACCACCATGATGCACAGCAATTCCTCTACTTAATAAATCTCTCATTCTTAAAATTTGTGGTAACTCTTTATCAGTTTCTACAACATTAAAAAATAATAATTAATATAAAAATAATATTGTATTGCGATTAAAAAATGCATTAAAATACAACCTGTTAGTTTTAGCTTATTTAAACTTTTCTCTAAAAAAAGATGAATTTTACTTTTTTCATCTGAAGTGCATAAATCCAAATTTGTTAAATAATTAGCATATTCATCACATTTTTTTTTGGAAAAGGTAAAATTTACAGTAGGCAAAAGTTCTTTCTTTTTCAAAAGATCAATAAGATGAATCCACATGCTTCTATCCTATAATAATAATAATAACAACAATAAAATAAATAAATAAATAAATAAGTTTTAATATTTTGTTTAATTAAAAAAAATTTTATTGATTTATATTCCAAAAAATAAAATAAAATACCGGCTGCATAGAGTATTTAGCCCCAGAACTACTATTACTTCCTTTTCCACCGCGGGATGATGATCCATGACCTCCACGAGTGCTTCCTTTTGTTTTTACCTCTTTATCTTTTTTGGTTAATGCTTCATTTGCTAATTTATATCTATTATAATATCAAAATAAACAAAAATCTTTCAAGTTATAATTGGTATGTATAACATGTGATGTCTTAACTTAGTTAATTAACATACATACCCTTCTTTAAGAAATCTTTGATCAGCATTAACTATTTTATAAATTTGTTTTTTTGCATATAGAAAATGTTCAAGTGGAACTGGTCGTTTTAGTGTTCTAATAACATATATATCCTTTTTCTTTGTTCGTCTGAATGTATTAATATTTAAAAATTAAACCATTAAAAAACTAATTATAAATTGATTAAAATAAATATTATATACCCAATCCAGTCAGCAAATTCTTTTGTGTTGGGGACAGTTGCTGATAAAAGAACAAATTTCACATGACCAGGTAACATAATTATAACCTCTTCCCAAACTACTCCTCTCTTTCAAGCACATTTAATACAACGTATTAATATTAATGTATAATATAGAATCAGTATGTTTTAACAAAAAACTATAATTTAAATTTAAAAGCATACTTCTGAATCATTAACATAATGAACTTCATCAAAAATTACAAATTCAACGTCCCTAATTAAATCGGATCCTCTATATAACATGGATCTTAAAATCTCTGTTGTCATAATCAAACAAGAAGCCTCTGAATTTATTTGTACGTCACCAGTTAAAATTCCAACATTGTTTTCACCAAATGTTTCTTTGAAATCACGATATTTTTGATTGGAAAGAGCTTTAATAGGGGATGTATAAATAGCACTATGAAAAGGATTATTAAATATTAATAAAGTAAAATTTTATAATTATAAATCGAATATATAAATAATAGTAAATACATACTGTGTCTTATGTTTTTGAGCTAATGCTATAGCATACTCTGCCACAGCAGTTTTTCCTGCAGATGTATGAGCTGCAACAAACACAGAATTGCCACTTTCTAAATGATATACCGCTTGTTTTTGAAAAGTATCCAATTCAAATCCATACTAGTTTAAGATAAAATGAATTATTAGAATTTTTCTCTTAATATATATATATATATAAATTGCCTAATAATGAAGAATACTTTATATGCCAACTCTGGTATCAATTCTTTAAAATTAAGTAACTCATCATCTAAATTAACAACATGTGCCCATTCACGTTTCTTTGAGTCGTTAGTAATGTATTTACTTGCTTTAATAATCTCTTTTGATGTTTGTGACTATAAAGTAATCAAAAGATTAAAAAAATTTCTAAAACGAAATAATCATAATAATAATAAATATTTAAATATTATTATTACTTGAGTTGACAAAAATTTATCAACATCTTCATTTATTTTATCTTTGCTGCTAGAAGGGTCGATTACATCATCTACAATGCAATCCTCTTCATCAGACTAATAATAATAATAATAATAATAATAATAATAATAATAATAATAATAATAATAATAATAATAATAATAATAATAATAATTCAGATCAGTATTTAATTGCGAATATTTTGAAAATAAATAAATAAATACATCATGGTAATCTCTGATTTTAGAGTGGTCTCCATCTTCGAATCCAGAGTAATACCCGAATCCAGATAGTTCATCATCATCATGAGTAATTAAGTCAGTAATATTTAGACCAATTAATTTTTTGTAAGGCACCCATTTGGTTTCATCTAGTATAATAATTAATGAAATTAAAAATTTTTTTTTTTTGTGAAGAAAACAGTTTCATGATAAAAAATCAAAAAATACCATCATCAAACAGTAATCCACGTTTAAATCCAGGAATTATTGTCTGAATTTCATCTATGATTCGATTATAAGTTTTCCCATAAATAAAAATTCTGATGTATTATGCGTATGCAACATTTGATTAAATATTCATTAACAATACCATCTTCAAATTTCAAAACGTTGAAAAAATTATCAACAATATTATCAACTTTATCCATCAAAACTTCTTCAAATCCACCTATTTAGAACATAATAATAATGATAAATGAAATAGTCCAATAGGTGATGTATGTGAATCTTTTTATCATTGATAAGTTAATTACAATTGTTTTAGAGAGAGAGAAAAAATACCTGGAGCAAAAGGTATTTGGTTTGAATTTCCTTTTACAAAATCATCTAATTTTCCTGGTTCACGTAATAATGATGTCGAATTTTTCGAAGTTAAACCAGAATTAGATAATGCAAGCTAAATAATACAACATTTTTTAATTATGTATTAAAAAAAAATCTAATATAAAAATATTGGAGAAATGAATAAATTACTTCTTTATAACCAGTTACTAATCCATCAGGACCATCTCGTAAGATTTCAAGATTTATTCGAGGTTTTGATGGTTCTAATGGGGCAAGTGATAATAAGCCAGAAGAATCACAATCAAAAGACCTTAAAATTCAATTTTATTGAACATAAATACGGGATGATTGTGACATATTATAAAAATATATATAAAACAATTAATGAAATACTCTTTTTTTAAACAGATACTATGTTATTATTATGTTAAATGAAACAATGCTAACTGTTGTTGAAACTTGCATAACCATGAAGTTGGAAAAGAGGTTTTTGATATTAAATATTGTTCTTCTATTTCTTGAAGAATTTCTTCATGTGACAGTGGTTTTTTCTGTTCAGGAGATACCCAACAAAAAATTATTCAATTATCAAATCATAAACATCAATTATAAGAGTATAAATGTAAATATATTACAGAAGTTGTGTCTTCATCAATTTGATCGTTACCATCATTATCATTTAATGCTTCATTTTGGATGCCTTCGCTTGAATTCTTTATAAATTGTAATATTGAATTGACAAAGTTTGTTTTGTCGAATTCTTAAAAAAGAATATTTTGTTAAATAATTGAAATATGGCGGGCAAAAAATATTCTTGCCAAAAACAAACCTTCAATTTCAATATCATTGTTCATATTTAAAAAAGTCTATATCCAAAATTTTTGTTTGAATTGATAAAATTTTATCATCATCCGCAGAAAAATTTTTGTATAGTAATGCTGATATAAACTTAATACAAAGTTATTTTACAACCAATTAAAGGAAATAAAAACTGAAAAAAATGTTGCAGAGAAAGATTTGTTTACAATTATGAATAAATTGGGAGATCTGGAAATAATATTGTTGATAAGTTTATTTAATAATGTCAAATACAGTCATCTCTTCCAGATCAAATTGTAGAATGGGTATTTTTTATTCATTAGAATATGGATTTAGATTGCCATATGGTCAAGAAGAAGAATAATTGACTATATTGAAAAAGAAAAGAATTTAATTATATACTTAGGGCTCAAGAAGTAGTATTAAAATGTTTAAATAATTCAAGTAACCCAGGAAATGAGGTTAATAAATTTTATTTAAATTGGTGGATATTCCCAGAAAATAAAAATTATGCAGTCAATGGTTTTAGGACATGCTCCAAAGGAAATTTAAAAGATCATTTACAAGAAACTCACTTTAATTTAACATTAAAAGATAGAACTATAATTATCAGGTCTTTATGTGTTTCATTATACATTAATAAAGTGATTTGGGGCATACTGCAACAAAACCAGACAAAGTGAACATTGATATTACCAGAACTTCAGGGATCAAAATTTAGTCATTTGTAATTTGATTGTAATTATCAGTTTTATAATATCCCATTTGTTATCTTAAGTAATATATAGAATTACCCCTATATAAAAATAGTTAATATGAAGTTAATTTACATCAAGTCTACTATGGAACCCAAGAATTACAGCACCATTAGAAGTATTTTGAAGAAAGAACAAGGTGAAAAAATTGCTCCTT